TGCAAAGACTTTTTAGTTTGGTATTGTCAGAATAATTTATTTTTGCTTTTGTTCCCCTTGCCTGAGGAGACATATCTAGACAAATGTTGCTAAGGCCAAAGAGATTACTGCCTGTTTTCTTCTAGAAATTGTATGGTTCCAGGACTCACATTTAGGTTCTTAATCCATTTTGAGTTTATTTTTATGTATGGTGTTAACAACATGTTAATTCAGAGCATTGCTACTCAAAGTGTGGTCCGTAAACAAATGGGCTTAAACTGTTTGTTGCTGATTTTCCATGAGATAGGAAATTTGTGCCAACATGTAAATCAACTATATCACTGAGCACACTGGCTGCTTCAGCTGGAATTTTGTTTTTTACTTATAGCAGGATGTTCTTATTGAAGTAAGCAGTTCAATAATTCACATTCTGACACAAGTTCCTTACCTTCTTGTAGAAAAGTCCTTTGAAACACGTTGACTTAGTGAACGGGCAAGATTACTATAATGATGACATTCCAAACAGTAAATTGACTGCATAAAATAGATATGTATTACTCACTTATACAACTGTCTAAAAGTGGGCAGGCCACTTAGGAGAGTTAAGACAGCTCTATTCCACATGGTCATCCAGTGCCCCAGGTCAGCAGTTATTCAACATCTCCAAGTCCAAGGCACATGCTATAATTGTAGCCATTTTACAGCTGATAGTTGGTAAGAAAGGGGAAATCTAGGGATAGTGGTTTTATCTTTACGTAGATACTTTATATCATTTTGCCTTTTTTTTCCTTTGGACTGAAATGATTCATATGAGGAAAGCTTGATTCAAAAGTGAATGTGAAACATAGTCTCTAGCTGGAAATTTACAAACTGTGCAAAATAGGGAATGTTTTATAGCTGAAGGACTAAATAGTTTACCCCTCTCTGCCACAGTGAAAATTATGATTAGAGAACTAAACTGAAGCTAGACTATTGAGGATTTGAGATTTAACACTAAATAAAATAATGGCAGAAAATAAAGACACTGGTAAAAATAAAATAAAAATTCAGTTATTATGCAAGAAAAAATGTGAAGTTTATTTACTTGTAATTAACTCCTTTTATCACAGTTTCTACAGATGAATTCATAGAAAAACCCAAGATCTATAGCCTAACTTTTCCAAAATGAATTCTCATATAACACAGTTGTCTTTATATGATATTGGTCTTTTTATATTACACTCCACTCTTGTTCCAATGGAAGATGGGGATGGAAAATGCATTAGGATCAAGTCTGAGATAAGAAATTTTGCCAAATGATTTATTGAAGAGATGCTTTCAGGAAAAACCTACAAGGGAAAAGGTGAAACAGGAAAGAGAAGAGGAAACAGCCCATGTGGGCAGAGGAGGAAAATCCATACTCTGAATATGTGTGAGCAGAGGTTAGGATGAATCACTGCCTTTTTCAAAATGGAAATGTCCAATATAATCAATTTTCCACTAAGTGGTAGGATAGTGCTATTTCTGGGATTTAGAACTGGTCTGTTACTGACAAGTCAGATATTCAACAGTGGCTGTAACCAGAGCAGACTTAGGGGAAGGAGGCCCATGAACGGCATCCATCTTTCTATTGTGGCTTCTCCATTCATGAATCCATTACTTCAGCAATGGGTTAGCCAAGGATAGAGGTTAGGTGATAAGTGGGAATTTGGGGAACTGGCTGAGTCATTCTGTCCACTTGGTTGTTTAGCCTTTCTACAGTGAATACTCTCTGGTGTACATTAATGTGCAGTATAAGTTCGTCACACTTTTTGGTCACTGTCATGGGTCCATCCACTTTTCTTTTCCCTAGAATTATTAGCCCTTATATTCCCAACCGGCTCCTTTAAGTCCCTTGCAAATCATGTCACCACTGTCTGTTATAATCTTATGTTGCCCTACTAGTCTACCCATAAAAAAAGGAGATGACCAGGAGCATTGCCCAGAACTCTGTTAACAGGAAGTTTTCCCTTAACCACTGGTTTTTAGGAACCTCTCTTAATGGGGCTGCGGTGCAACAGCAGTCCACTTTAGCCCCCTGCCAACATATGAACCAACCTATCCACAAATCAAGCTTGAGTTTCTCCTCTCTTCATCAGCAGAATATAAGGGGCCTTCTGTGAAACTATAGGAATGAGCTGATATAGAGGTATTATGTCACCTAACAGTAATAGGTGACATAAGGGTCTGGGCCACTCATTTGTAAAGCCTACTTGTAGCCTTTGGATCAACTTGAGATCAATCCCAGACACACCACTCCCATCTTAAAATGAATTGCTACTGGGTACAAACGAATTTAGGATTTGGTGGATCTGCCAATACTCAGCTTATGATGGCCAGTTATGGCCACACAATTAATTTGAAAATTCATGGCAAACACTATCTCTTCTAGAGCTCAGTAGACTACCAGGAGTAGATACCAGTTTGAATGATCTGCTGCAGGTGGCACACCTTACTGGAGAACCTTAGGGGTGTACATTATGATTCTCCTCTGGGGCTTGACCAAAACTCTATTTGGCATCCTTTTATACCATAGATGCCATAGTGCCATAGATCTGCCCAGTTGTATGATCCAAGTGGAAGGGCTGCTTGTACCTCGGTCTTAACTCTTGCAGGACTCTTTCTTGTTCTGGGTTGCACTCAAAACTAGCAATTTTCTGCATCATCCTGTCAATGACACAGAGCAGTATTCCTTAGTGCAATAAAATGCTGCTTCCCAAACCCAAAGAGGCCTATCAAGTCATATTCTTCTTTCTTAGTAGTAGGAGTCACAAAGAACAAAAACAGACTTTTACTTTGGTGGGGAGGTCTCATCATGCTCCAGAACCCTGGATCTTGAAAAACCACCAAAGGTGGTAGGTCTAGTAGATCCCTGAAGCTTTACTGGCTTTTCTTCCACCCTCTGGAGTGCATATGTCTTCCTAAGGCAGCCAGAATACTTGACACTTGTTACCTACCAGGTACAATTAACACCATGTCATTAGTACAGTAGACTAATGTTAAGTGCTGTGGAATGTCAAGATGATCTAGGCCCTTTCAATCTATATAATGACACCGAGGACAAGCAGCTTTGAAAATTATCTTTGAGAAAAATATTAAAATATTATTTTGAGAAAAAATATATTTAAATAATATTTTTCTCTTCCTTTAGTGCTTTGTGTCATCTTTAAAAAAAAAGCTTAAAAGCAAGAAGGGAGGAGACTAAACAAATTAAGTAATGAGAATTCAAATGAACTAGAGGGTTTAATTTGTCATTCTTTAATTGAACTTTGGGAGTTCAACTGTGGTAAGCATTTCTTGATGGACCTCCTATTTTTAATTAGAAAAATTTATACTCTGGGGATCCCTGGGTGGCTCAGTGGTTTAACGCCTGCCTTTGGCCCAGGGCGTGATCCTGGAGTCCCGGGATCGAGTCCCACATCAGGGTCCCTGCATGGAGGCTGCTTCTCCCTCTGCCTGTGTTCTCTGCTTCTCTCTCTCTCTCTCTCTGTATCTCTCATGAATAAATGAATGAAATCTTTAAAAAGAAAAAAAAAAGAAAAATGTATACTCTGTGCTGGAATGCAATGTTGAGAAGTCTATGATTTTACAGCACTTGTATTTGGCAAAATGGTCAAAAGTGTCATAATTAAAGGCAATTTATCTGACAAGTTTTAACTTGAAAAATATTCATCAAAGAAAGATACTCCAAATGGAAAATAACTGTGGAATATTTGGTCTCTAATATTTGAACATATCAATATGGAAAAAAGCTACAATTGGAAATAACAGAAACAAATTTCCTTCACAGAATTTACTCTTGCTTACTTCAACTCTATAAAGAAAATATTTCCCCCATTAAAAATTTAGGGGTCTATAGAGGAGAGTCGATTGAAAGTATCAACATTTTCAAATTTATTAATCATGAATGGAACTTTGAAAAAGATTGCAAGCAATTTTATGGAAAAGCAAAACATAATAGGATCACACTGAAAACAATCATTCTTTAGTGGAACTTTTCTGACATGGTATTAGAAAAAGATGTGGTTAAAGAAACTGATTAAAGTACATAAATATGAACCATAAATAATTAGTCATGTCATTTTTAATACTTAGATAACAAATATATAATTATAATTATTTTAATGCCTAACATGATTTTAGACAGAATTTAATTTGTGAAAATTATTTTAATATATTATTTAGTTTAACTATAATAAAACCGCTATTTGTCAGTCAATAAGTATTTTTTAAAATGTATTATTTTCATTTAATGGCTCTTTTAATTCTCAAAAGTGTCATGATTTAGATAATAAACGTGGGTCAGTAAAATGAAATGGAAGAAGAATGGAATAGGAGAAGGTTAAGATGGAGATTAAATTGGACCTATGGATATGTTGGGCCTGGCATTTCCTCACCACCATCTATATAGCTATCATACAAATGCAATTTAAAATATTGGTTAAGAGCTCAGGAGGGAGATATAGCCTAGAAATGTTGATCTACATGGCATCAGCTTAGAGGGTACGGCCAAACATTAGGATTTGTTAGAATAGCACATAGTATGTGAAAAGAAAAGGAAAAGTTGGCCAAGTCTTGAGTTCAAAAATGGGCCTCTAGCCTCTAGGGAAAAGAAATAGGAAAGATTAGGGGAGAGCTCAGATACCTGAGAAACTATGGTCAAATGAGATTAAGACAAGTAAAGGCTCCAATATACAGATATTTAACATAAATCCAGAGATGGAATGGAATCTCAGCAGTTAGAACCTAGCCAAGTTTCAGAAAAGGATGACAACAGATCAACTTAATGCTGAGCTCTAGCTTTGGAGCTAGGAAAGGAAGGAGGGTGCCATTGGAGGTAGGAAAGGAAAGGAAGCTGCCAATTTATAAGGAAACGGGAAATCAGAGAACCAGAACCAAAGCAGAGTCTAACTCCTAGTTCTAGGGGATCAGGCAAGGATTTGATCCTGTCAGAACACAACCAGAAGTTCATTACCCAGTAACATTGATTATTCTTCTTGCAGAATCCATGTGATGATAAACGGCACAAAGATATTTGGTCCAGAGAGAAAACTTGTGACCACTTGCCAAAATTCCTGGTCATCGGGCCGCAAAAAACAGGTCGGAATACCCAGTGGTGCTGTCTATATACTTTTTTATTTACTTTTTGTCATGTAACATATTGTCATATATTCTAATTGGATTAGGTCTTGTTTTGTGAAATATCTAGACATCTGTCCAAGTTCATTATTTGAATTGTTTTTCATCCCTGTGGATCTTTATGCTGTGATCCTCAAAGGGATCCTAATGCTGCCTATTAATTAGACTTAAGGACTAAATTTTTAACTATATATTTTAAAACTGTTCAACAGATGTCAAATTTTTGACAACTTTGTGATAATGTATCACAGTTCCAGTATCTGATTTTTAACCCCTACTATTTTGTAACTTTGCCTAATTATCTCCAAAATTAAGTCATAAAGCAAGCAATTGGCCTGATTTAAACTTTTCTACACAGTATATCAGCCTTGAATTGATTTTTTTCAGAGCCAGTGTCATTATTACTTTCAAATATTCTATGTGTGTGATTTTAAAAAAAAATAATTATTAAGTATAAAAATGGTTTGGACTTATTATCTGATATACCTGTGGTTCATCAGGCATTTTTCCCTTAGTATTTTCTCATATGCTGAAGGACAAGTGTATAAGACTGCAGTAAAAGAGAGTGAAAGTATTTCACCAATGAGATGACACTTTCAATTAGAATATTTTATACTTTCTTCAGCATGTGACAGTTTTATACACTTTGCTCATGTCCTGATTAATTAAAGTTTTTATTGAGTCGCTGTATTTTGAATTCACTACTTTGACTAGAAGCATTTTCATCAGTGAGTGCAGAAACCATAACACAAAACCAACAGTCACTATAAATAAGCACAGCCCAGATGAAGATATTTGTAATACAAGCAAGTAGATCATTTTAAAGGTTATGGGCAAAATTTCCAGACTATTAGATATTGGTTGTTGAAATCTTTTCTCCCACCAGTAATATAAATTGTATTACAACAGTAAGTTACACATGTGCAGGGAGGGGAAAAAATCAGCACATATTTTCAGATCTATCACTTGTGGTGTTGTTGTTTAAAATGTACATTAATTTTCTACCAACCCCCTTATAGCAGTGCTAACTCTGGAAAGATTGCTAAAGAAACAAAACATTCTCGTGTTGTAAAATTATGCTAAAAATTTAAATTAAAGACATCTTTTATCATTTGTCACTGCATATTATTATTTCTTACTTCTGCTAGAAAGCTACAGGTTAGTAAGTGTAAATCTAGCTTTCCTCTTTGCTGTTGTATTTATAAAGACTATAATTACACCTTTAGATTTTAATATTTGACCTACCAGTATGGAAATAACAGTTTTCAGCTGCTTTTGAGGCACTCCCAAGGCAAACAAACAAAGTTAAAATAAAGGAATTGGATGATAATAATATTTTATATACTGTGAAAAATGCTATTCTAATATAAAAATGGCTGTGATAATTTTTAAAATCTGTCCAGTCATAGAAGTCTAAAGTCTTCTTTTGTTCTCTTTATTGCTTTAGTTGGCAAAATTCCCACTGCTGTGAGAGCTGTAAATTTCCTGGACACAGCTATTGCTAAGAATCTGATCTTCAATGCAAAATTGTCTTTAAGCAACTTAAACATAGCCTACATGCCCCTTGTAATAAACATGAGGTATAAAAGTAGCCCTCAAACCCCTATTCCCTATTTTCTCAATTGTTGTGAAGTGAGAATAAAAGGAAGTGATGTCCCACTTCTCTGTTGTTGAACCTTGGAAGGAATTTCTGTCCACTGACAGTGGGGCAGTGAATGAGGACAGACAGAGAACAGAGTAGGCCTGGGCTTATGGCACTCAAAGATTAAACCTTAGCCCTGGACAGATGAGCATTCTTCATGAATCCAGATCAAATTTTGATATTACCAGGCTAGGAGGGGATTTCCAAAAGAGTTGAGTTTAACACAATAATCCTTTTGAAAAATAATATTTTATTTATTAGGGTGTCTGGGTGGCTCAGGTGGTTAAGCTTTTGCCTTCAGCTCAGATCGTGATCCCAGGGTCCTGAGATCGAGCCCCATGTCAGGCTCCCTGCTCAGTGGAGAGTCTGCTTCTCCCTCTCCCATTGCTCCTTCCCTGCTAGTTCTCTTTCTCCCTCTCTGTTAAATAAATAAATAATATTTAAAAAAATATTTTATGTATGTATTTGAGAGAGAGAGAGGGCACACTAGCAGGGAGAGGAAGAAGCAGACACTTTGCTGAGAAGGAGCTTGACATGGGGCTCCATCCAGGATCCCAGATCAGTACTTCAACTGAAGGCAGACGCTTAACCTACTGAGCCACCCAGGCACCCCTAGTACAGTAATTCTAAAAGCAAAACTCATTGGCTTTACCTCTTCAAGTAAATCAGTGTCCCCATTGTCAGTATTATTTTCTCATGACCTGGTTGTTTTACTCTGATAAAACTAAAAACAAAATTCATTGGTATAAAATAGAATGAATGCAGTTTCTCTGAGAGTATTGCTAGGCATGAGGTCTGTTTTACTTCTTCCACAGAATATTTATATCAAAGACAGTGGATAAAAATGAATGTCAGTAAGAGATGAAACACAGGTGATAATAAAATGAATATACATTTTGGGACAGTAAGCCCAGGTTCTATGACTGGTTATATGAATATCAAGCCACATACCTACTGTCCCCAGTTGAAAAGACTTTCTCCTTTCTTCCTGTCAGATGTCTCCTTGATGTCCCTCCTGCTCCTGGTGGCATGAAGGTGTTGTGGCTCAGAACATTAAGGCTTTGACTTTATGTAACCCAGGGGAGATGTGATACAATTCTGTGATCCTCAGGGTGATTAAATATTTGTCCATGTTACTAAATGAGCTTATAATGAATTTACTTTCTGATATTCAGCAATAATTCAAAAATATCCCTTTATTTGTACCCTGGATCCATCCAGTCTCAACATTGCAGGGATATTAAATTATCAATATTCTCAGCTCTCTAGTGTGTCTCAAATTCTCTCTCTCTCATGCATGTGCACACATGCACACACACAGGCACTTCAACAACTAAACATTTTTATGTAGGTCCCAGCCTGAAAGGTATATAGAAAGAATCCTTTTGAATTCGCTATTCCCTTCCAGATACTATTCTGTAACACTCTAATTTATTTATTCTCCCTGGAACATTTTTGTTCCACCTCTCATAGTTTCTCCTTTTTGAACTGCTGTTATTTTCAGGAGTATTTCTGATCAGTTCTTGAGGACTCCATTGCCCCTCATAATTTTATCTCTTTTTCAATGTGTTTGAGATAGTTGTGTCTTGTTCTTTGGGCCTCTAATTCAGTTCCTAACCAGTTCTGACTCCTTTAATTTTTAAATTGAGTTTATATGATTTGATTCCATTTTTGTTAATTTTTAAGTTGTTTTGGGGCACTCGGGGGGATCAGCCTCCTAAGCATCTGACTCTTGGTTTCGGCTCAGGTCATGATCTCAGGATCCCAAGATGGAGCCTTGGGTGAACTCTGCATTCATTTGGAAGTCTGCTTGAGATTCTCTCTCTCCCTCTTCTTCTGCCCCCACCCCTATGCTCACTCATGCCCCCTCTCCTTCTAAAATAAGTAAATAGATCTAAAAAATAAAAATCATTAAAAATTATTTTTAATTAGTAATTAAATTTTTAAGAGCATTTATTATTTTTACCCTCCCATTTCACTGGGGGCAACTGATTCTGTATTCCTTAACTTTCTTCCATCCAAGGTGGTTGGTCCCCTTGGATCTGTCATCACTTTTCTTTAACTAGTCATGTCCCTGTTCAGGCGTGGTGGTGATGCAAAACTGTGAGGATCTAAGCAGGTGGCCATGTCATTAATTCTTAAGCACACTACCCTTTGCTCCTGCGAGCTTAAGATAAGTTAAAATAAAATGCCAATTCTCTCGTGATCTGCTCAGCTTTCAGATCCCCAGCTGCCATTGTTATGGTTCTGCCAACACACCTGTGTAGCTCATTTCCAACTCTGCTACGGCTGGGAAATCCAACAACTCCTCTTGGGTCCAACATGTTACAAAAGAGATAATCTTTTCAAGAAGGAAACTGATTTATGAGAACTATGAAAACCCATTCACTTCATGATTCTTTCCACTGTGGTCCCCAGTCTCTGGCCCAACTCAAATGGAAACAAGGGTCAGAGATTGCATCTGCGCCTTCGGTGACATGTGGGTTCTATCAACCAGTCAGTTCAGACTACTGCCTCAGTTATCAGATCAGATTGCCCCCATTTTGCCAGAGTAGGACATTCAAGAGCCCATTTTTCCAGATTCTTGCCCTCCTCTTTCAACCTTACTGGGAACACTTATACTTTTAAGGGACAGACTGAGAAAACACTTCTTCTTGGAAGCTTTCACTGACTTCACAGGTCTAAGTCACCCATTTTCTCATGCATTAGAAAAGCAATCTGGTCTTCTCTCAACATGGAAACTCTCACTATGTTGCCATTACCTGCTTACTTGACCTAAGTCCACACGTACACTTTAAGTTGATCAAGGCCAGCAAATGAGTTTTTTCTTATCAAGAGTTATCACCAGGGACTTAGAGTAACACCAGTCAGCATGTGTTGAGTAGTTTGATTTAATTTAATTGATTTGAAATAACATTAATTGAGATCCACCAGGTTCAGATATTGTGCTGGATGCCCTTGATGCTTTATCCACTCACCAGACTTAAAGAGGGAAATTGAGCCACCAATTTCTGATGTTCTCTCCCAGCTTAAAGCACAGTATCATCTGCTTCAGATGCCCAATTTTGTCATATCTATGTATAACTGCCTATGTGTTTTTTGCATTTATTTGTTTGTCATAAAATTCCTGTGGTATCTTATTTCATATTTTTTCTTCAAATAAACTTCTTTTTACTTCAAATAAAATAATTTAAAGCAGAAACTTCATATAATCCTATAAATAGAAGAACAGTTATTGGTTATCAAACAGAAAAAAATGTAAAAAAAAATACACTGAAGACAAAAATAGTTGTATCTTCAGTCTGCTTAACTTGGCCTATGTACTAATATTAAATCAGATGTTTAGGTAAATAGAATCATGAAGACTAATAAAAGAATACTTAGATTCTTGCACATAAAAACTGCCTAACTGATTTTAAGGAAATCATTTTTTAAAGCTTTTATTTGTTTGATAGAGAGAATGAGAGCATAAACAGGGAAAGAGGAGGAGGAGCAGAGGGAGAGTGAGAAACAGACTCCCACTGAGTAAGTAGCCCAACACAAGTTCAATCCTAGGAACCCAAGATCATGACCTGAGCCATCCAGGTGCCCCTTAAGGAAACTATTTTAATACCAGAAGAAAATTGGTCTTCTGAATATTACTTTTTGAGCAAAAATTTTGCGAAAATAGTATTTGTCTCTTCTTTTGTTGCCATATATTAACCCTTTGCCTCCTTTTTTTGTTATAGGAACTACTGCACTTTATTTATTTCTTCTTATGCACCCTTCCATTATCAGCAATCTTCCCAGCCCCAAAACATTTGAAGAAGTTCAATTCTTTAATGGCAACAACTACCACAAGGGAATTGATTGGTAAGGAAAATAACAAAATATAAAGACCATTATTAACACATGCTCAATCACAGCAGAGCAATTATAGATGTATGCATGGCATCTACATAATTACAGCATAAATTTGTTATGCTCAATTCTACAATAGTGAATTAGAAATTAATTTATAACAACGATATGTTTAATCAGTGTTGCCTATAATTTGATTTGGACAGTGCAATAATGATAATATTTTCCTGGTAAATTAATATGATTGAATAAAGAAGATTATGGAATATTTTGTCAGAATTATTCATAAGGATATTTAAAATTATACTTAGGCATATTATTATTTTACTGTGCTTAGAATTTTTTTAACTACATAATTTGTCTTCACAAATGATGCTTGAGGAAACAAATAAGTTGTTTTACTTTATGCTCTGTGACATGTGTCTTCATTAACCACATAGACTATAAAATGTTCTATTATAATATAAGCTGATATTTGTCATGTAGATAATAACATAGCATTTCCAAAACCATATTAATGCTAGCCACACACATGCATAAAAGGAATATTACTTTGCATTTAATAAATTATGAAAAATTTAAAAATCACAATATTTTCCTTGAACTAAAATAGCATAAATCTGATATTAGAACTGATCTTTACTCTGGAGCTTTTTTTCTAGCTATATTCCAATTTTCTAAGAAAATATCACTCTGAGTCCAATTTCCAGTTATATAAGGCAAATCTCCTCTAAGGAAAATTCTCCTAAATGCATGCCTCTGTGGTGTGTAACTTTACGTCAACACCACATATGAACCTGTTCTCAAAAGAGGCCTGTTCTGTTTAAACTCAGCTGGGTTTAGAGTAAGGGAAGGTCAATTCCAGTGAGCATATCTGGCTTCCTATCATGTATAAGATGCACCCACTCTGCACCTAGGATATTACTATTCTACCTTACTTTAAAAAGACCAAATGAATTTTGGAAGTGAATGCAAGTTACTAAAAGCAGAACAGCAATTTTCTCTTATCTGTGAGCTCAAATGGAACACAAATTGTTAAGCAGGAATATAGATGAGACTTTCACCACTTCACATTTGGGAAACATAATAACAAATGTCAAAGAGGAAAATAAGTGTCTTATATGAATTCTTAATTGCTCTCATTATTTATTTCTAGAACATTTGAGGGTTAGAGAAGTGATGAGCTGTAAGGAGGATTACACACATAATTAAAGCCTTGCACTGAGTTAACCTCTGAACATATTGATTCCATAATCTACACACAGAGGAATGTTCTGACAGCATATGGAGGAGTGAACCTACCGAGGCACCACAGGATCAACTGGCAGGAAACATCTTCTTAATTACTCTAGATAGACTATAATGTGTTCACATTGCTGCACATACTACAAATTATGCAGAAGTTAAAAAGGAGGGGAACAGCTATGCCCTACTCTGTTTAGGATCTTAGAGCTATTCTGACTTACACATCTTCCTCTCTTGGCACTTTCATCTCAAATTAAAAATTTTGCGTTCAAGTTTGCAAACATGAATTTACTATTTTTAAATATTTACTAGGCAATACTGTGCCATTTGCTTTTTGCCAAGGGTAAACTGATTTTTTCTGGATTTGGCTTTTGATAGCAGAGAACATCAGCCCAAATCTAAAGGATTTTCCCTCTGTTCTTAACAATCCACCTATTTCATCTCACTCTTTCCCATGCCCTAAATAATTGATTAGAAGAACTGTGCTTCAGGTCATTTTCATGGTCAAAGTGCATAGAATAGCCATGATTTCAACTATTATAACACTAATAATCAGAAATCAATATAAATGAATGTTAAAATGTTCAATTATTTCATATCCATAGCATGTTAGAGAAAAACTTAGATCTCGGATTATTTTTCTCTGCCTTCAGGTATATGGACTTTTTTCCTACTCCACCCAACATTACAAGTGACTTTCTCTTTGAAAAGAGTGCTAATTACTTCCATTCAGAAGAAGCTCCCAAGCGAGCTGCATCTCTGGTCCCCAAAGCCAAGATCATCACCATCCTCATCGACCCCTCAGACAGGGCATACTCTTGGTACCAGGTATGAAGCAGTAAAAAATACTATTAAAAACATTTGTCCATAGCTTAAATGTAAGCAATGGTGAATATCAAAATAAAGTCTAGATGTCCAGATGTATTCAAGTCAAATGTTAAAGAGCTAAACCAAGAGAGAGAGAGAGAGAGAGAGAGAGAGAGAGAGAGAATAGAAATTATAAGAAATAAAGCTGAATATTTGATTCATGGGAATCTGGGCAAAGATTTTCAAGCATAAATAGAAAACATACATAAAGGATTAATAGATTGACTAAATAGTATAAACATGTTAAATATTAGTCTATCACAATTAACAAAATAAAAGTCCATATCTAAGCAGAGCATCTTTATTAATACATGGTAAATGGTTTATTACACTTAATTTGTTTTAAAAAAATTCTGTAAATTGGTAAAAATAAAAATATAATAACTCAGAAAAATGAGCAAATAAACAGAACGCATAAATAGACATTTCACATATACAAACACACAAATATAACTGCTCAACAATTTATATGAAAAATGATCAATCCAACTAGGGGAGCAACAAAATATAAATCAGAATGATACTCTTTTTGAACATCATCTCAACAAAAATCATAATGTTTATTCTCCCTGCTGGCTAGAGTGTGATGGTAAAGATAGTCAAACATTCCAATAGAAAGGTATGGGAGGAGATATTTTCTGAAAACTAATTTGGCAATAATTATCAAAATAGTTTTGTAACGGTCCTTGTGTGTTATGGATCCTCTTCTGGAATCAATCATAAAGAAACTTCAAAGGAGTAGGCAAATATTTATCCCTTTATGTATCGCAGTACTATTCAAACAGTAATAATAAAAGGAAAAGTTAATACCCAACAATATAAAATTGTGTCATGTTGAAGTGCAATATTCTGCAACAACATTTAATGGTAGTTTTAATCAGTAGAATATTAATTAAAGCATTGCGTCCATTTTAATGTGTGGATAGATATTAATCAAATAATCACAAAGATACATAATTAAAAATTTCAAATGCTCTGTGAGGAAATTTGTAAGGTACTAAGAAAGCATTCTCTAGAGAAATAAACTTTAGACTTAAAAGTGAAGAATGAGTCAGTATAAACTGAGGGAGGTAGGAGAGTGGGGGAGAGAGAAAAGTATATGCGGTCCCGTGGGTGGAAGGAACAGTAGCATATTTAAAGACCTAAGAAAACTTCCATGTGGCTAGAGAGCAAAACCTGAGGTGGGGACCTTTGGGACATGAGCCTTAGGCATACACAGAGGCCAGAACTCAGGTGGGGAAACTGGGCGGCTATCATTCTTCAAGCCAAGCATAAGCCTTTGACAAGTTGAGCCAGTGTGTAACGACCATATTTCCTTTTAGAAAAATTTATACTATAAGCTATTTGAAGAATGGAGTGGAATGGAGCAGACAACTATTCAGGGAAATCCAGGAGAGGCTGCTAAGAAATAGAGGCAGCATTGACAGAGACAGTAAATATAGACTGAAGTATAAGGTATCAAAGCACATGGAGGGATTAAAATCAACAGAACCTGGTGAGGAAACAGTGTCAAGAATGAACCAAATTTCTGATGTGGACAACTGGATGATGAGGATGTATTCCCATAAAAATAGAACCACTGAAGAAGGAAACAAGACTGGTTGGGAGGGAGGGGTGCTAAAGATGAGGCACAAATGGTGATCATGAGGTATGGAATCACGGTCATACCGAAAACAGCAGTAAAGTCAGCAGGCACTCCAGAGAGAGGTCCAAGCTGGACACTGAGATTTGCGAATCAGAGGCAAAAAGCCACATAAAAAATGGTAAAACTGCCTGAGGAGAGAGTTCAGAGAAGCAAAGTATAGAGAAGGATGAGGCAACCAGGGAGATAAGAGAACACAGCCAGAAGAGTAGAAGAAAAAAATCTAAGAATGTAATAATAGCACTGAATACAAGGGGACAAAGTACAACCAAATGGAGGAGATGACAACAGTGTCAAATGGTTCCTAAGAAATTAGACAATTAGGCAAAATAAGGTCTGAATTATTTTCACTGAGTTGAAAGACATGGAGTGAAGTGAAGCCTATAGCGACAAATGAAAAGAACAAAACCAGATAGATTTGGTGGAGGAAAAACTGAGTAGAAGAAATAAAAATGCAATTTCAAAGGGGAGAAACAAGACACATGCATATTACAGAGACATTAGAGTGCATTCAAGGAAACTGCTCTATGGGTAGTGATTCGGGTCATGAGATGTTTCCGAAAAAGGAGAGATGGTTAAGGCCCAGGAGAGAATCTGGGAATTAGTCCTGTGAGGATCCTTGAGGGGCCAGAGGGAGATGACTACCTACAGGAAATAGCTTAGATGGGAGGGAAGGACTCCATTTCCAGACTCCACTTTTCTTGTGCAGGGACCCTTCTGGCAAGTTGCTGGAGTTTCTGGGTCCCATTTGAGAAACATGTTTTGAAAGCATAAAACTTAGAATTACAGAGAAACAACTTTCTTGAAATATAATTATCAAACTAATCTTTAAATTAGTAACAGATTTTTATTTACCTAACAATTAAATGGCAAGATCTAATGGCAGGAATAAAACTGCTATAATGTTGAAGTAGGGATGAGCATGAACAGCATTTTGATATATCTGAAGTACTTGTAATGTGATATAAAAATAGCTGATTTTTATTGGTGGTAAAATCTCAGGTGTAATAAACACAAAAATTCATTTAAAGACTTTTTTTTTTTGGCAGATGCAAGTTCACAGACTCTCTGAATTATATCAATAGATCTCTGGTTAAGAATCCTCCAATTGAAACTTAAGAGATAGAAGAGAGGATAAATGTACATGCTGGCAAATTTGAAGGTCTGAGATAGAGAAACTGGAGTGATTCCGATGGTCTCTCCTTCCTTTGGAAAGTTGAGAATGAATTAAATCTGATGAAAAAGTGGAGGATGATTTGGGAGACAGCAATTGGAGGAGAGAAAAAAGGCAGTGTGAAATCTTTGTACAGGGGTGACATAAAGTTGACCACAGAAATGTAAAATTGTCTACGGCAGTGAAGGCCCAATTAAAGGTGATCTTGAATTTATGGTGGCAATAATGTACATGTACTAAAATCCATGATATGAGTACATTTCTGTATGTGTATGTTCAATGCATATAAAAATTAATGCCCAAAGTAATTGGACAAAATTTTATGAAGAAAGTGATCATTCTCTCTTTTCCTCCTTTTTGATGAGGATAGAGGAAAATATAAATCTTGATGATAGCTTATTCCTTGTTATTAATAATAACATTAATAGGAGTTCTTGACTATATGAATTATTAAAGGAATAAAACACTACACAAAGACTAAAATCCCCTCTGACTGCCACTCTTAATTTTTACCTTTTCATTATTCATCAACTTGGAGTTGATGCTTCCAAGTGTTTTACTGTAGATTTACACACAGATACCAAATATATTAATTTGCAGAAAATATATAGTACAGTTTTATTTATAGTGTTTTAATACAAAATGGTACATATTATGTATACCTTTATGTAACTTGCTTTATAAACTCAACAATAAATCTTGTAGGTCTTATTATGTTAACACACATAACAAATTGATTAATTAGTTCCCCAAAAAAATCAAGACTAAAAGGAAATTTTTAAAGGACATACAAATAATTTTTATTTTTTTATCAGTTTTTTATTCATTTATTTTGTATCCATTCTTTATTTTTTATTCTTTCTTTTTAGTTTTTTTAAATAAACGTATATGGCCAAAAACAAATAATAATGAACTGAAAAATATAACCCTATACATTGGGATTGCAAGTGATTGGGGATCCAAGAACACCTGGATTGGGAGCCATATTCAAATATTATTATTAGAATCCATGAGTCACTGTATTCCTCAAGATATAAAAATATGCCTTTCTCACTTTATGAAAATTCATATTTCAAACTAAGATAAACTTTTTTAAAAAAATATGACCAAAGTATTGAAATATTAAGCCTTAATTAAAAATTTTGAATGCAAGTACTTGGGGCAAAATGCTGCACATTCTCCTGGCAGAAAACATACAGCAAATTTATATGGATCTTTTTTTCACATAGATTAAACTATTTAAATAAAAGAGAATCTGTGTCTGCTCCTTCAAGTAAATTCTTTGAACATACATGCTAGAAAGGAATTTTTTTTCTGATATTTTTATTGCCATATTGCTAAGAGTAGGGTCCCCAAACTGCTCCACATTTCAAAATAATGCAGCCTATTACTTAACTAGTCCTGTCTATTCAGTAAATACCCTAAATCCAAAACTCAGCAGGTATAATTCAGAGACTCCTACAAATATCACCTGCCTCTGTAATTTCTACCCCACATTTTTATAATGGGCCTCACAGAAGAACAATAGTCCTATTTTTCTATAAAATATGTCCCTTTGTGACTTCTGGTCATATTTTTATGCTAATCTTCTTAGTACAGGAATATAAAGAAAAGTTGGTGTTAAACTTTTATAAATCAATGTAGGGCAGATTAAGTACAGTTCCATATTATCACTGCCTAAAATAGAAATTTTAGTATTAACATATTAATATGCACATAGTATTTTTATATTTCTTTATTCAAGTTATATAGTTTCTACACATATTAATTCAATTTATTATGTAGTCTATGTATTCAGCATAATGCATATACATATAAGAATTTCAATAAATATACAATAGTGAGAGACCTTCAAAAGTTTCATTAGTTCCACCAATCTATCACTCACTGGTTACTGTGTAACTACTTCTTACTTATCTTTATTTTTTAACAGTTTTTATTTCTAACCCGCATAGATAACCTGCTGTTACACAATTGTATCAAGTCCTAATATACTCCCATCCTCCATCCTGTAGTTTATTTTCTCTATGTTAAACTTTTAGATATCTCGCAAAATCAACTAATCCATTCCCACAACTCATTCACTTTCACTCAAACTTAATAGATCAAGTTCTAATGGTTTCTATGTTGAGATTTTTCTACTTGTAAAAATCTGTTATTATATTTTAGCTCAAAAATTTCAACCATTAAAAAGGATCCCTTCATCTTTCATTCAGAACTAATCACTTATTGCTCTGGCTACCAGAGCAATGTATATGACTCTAGTTAAATATATGTCTTTATTACAGTCTGTTAATCCCTTGTCCTCCATACATCTTTGAAGATAGAGATTACGTTTTGCTTGTATCTTTTGTATCTCCAGAATCTACCTCAGTTCTTTGTCCTTGTAAGGAGCTTAATGAGTGCTCATGAAATTGTATTGAATGCTAAATTCATCTCTCATTGTATTGGGCTCTTGAGCTTGACTAATGATGGTTTGATATGAAAGACTCAGAGGACTTTGTACCTAAAAGTAGTAATAGATCAGTACTTGGAAATCAGCAAGGATAAGTGGAAATTCTTGGGAGAGCAAAAGGAAAGGATTTGGGCAACATCAACATCTTTATGACACCTAGACAAGAATTAGGAATACACATCCATTTTCTCTGTACTCATAGCATCTGCCACACAGGGGTATTGGGAAAGTACCAGAACTTGTAATAGTAGCTGTAATGAAACAATGTGCAGAATAGTGTATAAGCCTGCTTTTGCCCATCTAAATCTCTTTTCACTGGGCTTGACTTGTCTAGTGCCTGATATCTATTCACTTTTAATTTTTAATCAGACCCATGAAGAAAATCCTGTACTCTGTCTCTTGATTGTATGTAAACACTTTAGATATGAGGACAACCATAGGTTTATGTGCACATGACTTGATATACATGGAAGGCTTGTACTTTAAATAAGCAATATGTCAATGCCTAGATTTAATATATGTGCTTTTCACCTTATTTTTTATTTTACAATTAATTTATCATTTTCATGATACACATGAAAAATTGTAATTAATTACAATTAATTATCATTTCATTACTTTTTGGAAATAAAAGGCACACACATGTACATACATCAAACACAAACATGCATACACACCCCCACATGCGTAAAGAAAACTAATTTTACAATTGACTTTCTTGTTAAAGCACCAACGATCACATGAAGATCCAGCTGCTCTGAGGTTTAATTTCTACGAAGTTATTACAACTGGACATTGGGCCCCATCTAACCTAAAAGCTTTGCAAAGGAGATGCCTAGTACCCGGATGGTATGCAGTCCACATAGAGAGATGGCTAACTTACTTTGCTACTTCTCAGGTAAGGTCTCAAAATTAATTTCTTCCATTTATTATACCTTGGTTGTATTGCATTTGACAACAGAGAATAAAAATAGCATTGCCACAGATAACAATTCATAATGAGACAATCATACCTAAAGAAGATATGTGGATTTTTACATGTTTAATGTCAATAATAGTGTTAAATTTCAAGTGGCTGTGAAACATATTCTTGGGATCATCTTTTGGGTAGTAGCTGGTCTCAAAGTGCTGAGTCCTCACACAGGAGACATCATATGATTCACAGACATTAATTCAACCACTCATAGAACAGCCAGTTAGACAGTAACTTTATGGAACACCAGGTGCAGATAGTCTGACATCTGTCCTCTAGGACTCTTAGAAAGGAAGAAGGAGGTCACTCATTAGACTGTCAAAATGGAAAATGCTGTAGCAGCTCCAGGAATGTGGGATAAAACAGGAGGTAAAGACTTGAGGAAACGTCCATATTGTTTATATTCATTAGTCTAGATCAGGTCATGACTAAAACCTGAGTTCTTTGTCATAGTTTATAAGGAGAATAGATGAGTAATTTTCATCTCTGTGCCATTTCTAAGTCTTTGGCTCCAAGGTTAGCTCATGGGATTCTGATTACATGACAGATGGAAAATTGAGTTCCTAGTGAACTACTAAATCAAGAGAGTATCTGTGTTTATTTCTGATTTACAGTCAAGTTAGTTAAGACTTATAAACAATGCCAATGGCAAACTTCAATCGTTTATTTGGAAGGACACAAGAATAGTAAACATTAACATGCATTCTAAGTAAAGCATATTTTCTTCCTAGTCACACTGACCTAATTGATTAATGTTATACTAGGTCAAGTGAGGCAGCTCAGTCTATTTAATTTAGTTTTGTTCTTCACAAAGTGACTATTTTTGACTTTATAGTTGCTAATTATTGATGGACAGCAGCTGAGATCTGACCCAGCTACTGTGATGGATGAAGTCCAGAAGTTTCTGGGAGTTACACCTCATTATAATTATTCTGAAGCACTAACGTGAGTCTATTCTCATGCTTGATTTCATTTCCATTATTTGCCATCATAAATTATCACTGGTAGGTGTGTATATAGCATCATTAATACTAGCTATGAACTTATACATCATTATGCTACTCAAAGCAGTCAAAGGAGTATCCTCATTATTCATGTAGTGTCTTCCTTTTGAATACCACAAATACTTTATTTTACAAAGTGTTATCCTGTAGGCATTTTATATATCACAAACTCCCTTCTTTGTGGGCTTTTTCCCAATATAAGTTCAGTTAAGTAAATTTTTAGATGCCTACTTTATGCAAAAATTGTCCTAGAAATTGTAGTTATAAAGCTGAAAAAAATATATAGCCTCTTCCTCAAGTAATTCACAGGTTAGAAATGAAATGCTGATGGCCACCAGTAACTCTGTGAAAGTGACCAATATTGAGGGCAGAATTCGGAAAAGAATAAATTCATATTTTACTTTGTATTTATTAAATTATGTCTAATCAAATGTAATCACATATAATATTCTAGTTATCTATTATTGCATGGCAGACCATCCTCAAACCCACCAACATGTTGCCACACCCATTTTATTATGGTCATAGATTCTGGGGGCTGGGAATTCAGACAAGACACAGCCAGAACAACTTGCCTCTGCTCATAATACCTGGGGACACAGGGAGGAAAGTGAGTATCTGGGTGTGAATCAAATGTCTGGGACCGGAATCTTCTAGAGGCTTCGCTTCTTCCCTCATATCTCTGGCTCTTGGACTGGGAGGACTCAAAGGCTAAGCACAGTGGGATGAGACCTCTTCATGTGGCTTTACCACAGTATAGTGGCTGTGTTCTGAGAGGGAGTGTTATGTTAAGGAAATGTAATCTGATAATGGCCTTCTCTGACCTAGTCTTGCAAGTTGCACAGCATCATTTATACCTCATTTTATTGACTATAATCAAGTCATTAAAGCTAGTGCAAATCCAAAGAGAGGGCAATGGGCCTTCCCCTCTTGATGGGGAGGGACAAGAGCATTCTGCAGAGAAGAATATGGGAGGGAAGATATTGTTACAGTCATCTTAGAAAAATAAAACCATGTGCCTGGGTAACTAAAGATGAGGTAAAAGGTAAAGAAGCAAAATAACAAACAAACAAAACCTCCAAGGAGCCAAAACAGATTTTAAAAGGGCATGTACTTGACTCCCTCACAAGACCTTAAACAAAGCCTATTAAATTTTAGACAAAATTCTAACAAGCCTGATTATATAATTTCCCAGTTCACAGCAGATTAGAATCAGCAATTAGACAATTAGAGAGGGTAATGGAAGGACAGGAAAAGCAGTAATAAGATTGGGTTGTTCCTTATCCACTCAAACAACCCTAATGAAGTTTTTACCTACACATGGAAATAACAACAATACAAGGCATGCCCCTGTTGATTAAGTAGACAAAGCTTCCTAGAATACGTTTTACGTAATAGTTATTGATGTTAACATGTCTTCCCCTGCCTCCCTGCAGTAGGTTAGGGAATGGTTCTATCTTGTTTACTACAAATAGTTGCTTATGGTTCAATAAAACTGTAAAATCATACTTTTCAAGAAGAGATTGCAAACAAGTACAGAATATATGGTTTTTAATATGTCTCACATCACAAAAATTAATAACTATAGTGATGTTCAATGTAATAAAAGAAGTCGTGTGGTAACCAATTCATGTCCTCAAAGTTGTCTAACAGCTATTTGAGAAAGGCTTTGCATCTTCATTTTACAATTTCATGCCTACTAAAATGAAACCATGAAACAATGAATTCACATAACTTAGAAAAAGTAAATGCCCTTTGTTAGAGTATATAACATCAGTGCAATAAATGAAGCCAGGACAGCAAAATAATGTGGAGTCAAGGTTATGACAACTCTATCTAAAAGAATGACTTTTAATATGGCTCTTCTTCCTCAAGCTGTATTAAGTTCTCCCTCACAACAGCTGCTATGGAGAACAGGGAGAGATTGTAGCCCATCCTGAGACTGCTGCACACCTGAAAGCAAAGGAGATGCTCTCAGTGTGGGTTATAAATATCTTGGCTTTGGTGCCAGAACTGTATTTTACCTTAACACAGTTAAATATTCTCATCCTGAGGCAGAAAATGCTGTTTAGGGGCACAGTTATGCCGACTTCCCCATCTCATTTTGCAGAGCATGCCGAATTGTTTTTCCTCTTGGGAAATTAATGAAAACTAGAGAAAGGACTGTGATAGGCAAGGAGCAGATTGAAAAGTCCAGGTTGGAAATGACTCTGTCTTTCTTTTATCTATTTAACCAGTGATGTATTTAATTTTAATTGATAACATGTACTAGGACAACCTGGACTGCAAGGATCAGGTCTCTAATAATGGGTTGGGCAGGGAACTGTGAAGAAAATTTCCCCCTCCCCCTAAATGAGTTCACATATGTGCAGAGGCAAATTGCAGGTGCAACGGTATTATAGGAATGGGCCCAGGGCAACAAAATATTCTGCAACTAATTAACTTTACATCCCAGTCAATTATGCTTCATCCTTCTAAAACATCTGCTGAGCAACAAAAATGCAAACCTTTTCGATGTTTTATGCATGCAGCAAGTCCCACAGCAATAAATTTAAATTTTCTCTTCTTATTGGTTTATTCTTCCATTTTTCCTATCTTGTTAGTCCTAAACAAAAGTTCTTATATATCTGAGTTTAAACAATTAGGCCACACATACTTTCTCTTGTACCTTTGTGCAGCCACAGGAGCAAAACATTAGAATTTTCTTTAAGAGTATAGGGACCTGAATTATCCCATAGGATCATTTGCCTTCAACAAAAGAAATGAAGAGTTGCCTAATCTTCCACTCACCACTTACACTGCCTGTGCCTCATGTTGTCTGAAAAAAGTATAACAGATTATATTTTTGCAATTTTAATTTTCTCCTTAAAAAAAGTGTAAACATTTTGAACTTTAAAAACTATAGCATCTTTCCAAATTAGAAGTTTTAATTCAAGTTTATATTCACAAAAGTGTACTTACATTACATTCAGTCACTTTAATATATACCATTCTTTGAATGATTTCAAAGAAATCTGTTAACATTCTTTTTGACAGGGAAATCATATTAATAAGTAAATAATTATCTTAAAAGTCCTGTGTGTATGGGTATATTGGTTTTGATGATTGGTCCTTGATCTTTTATGGATGAATAGGTAAAATATGAAACTTAAGTTAAATTTTAATCTAAGATTGGATTAAAGATTTACAGGTATTTTTTCTCAGTAAAAATATTCAAAAATATATAATAACATATAGCTTATTAAATCTCAATTAAACTTTTAAATAAATTCAATGAATATTTGTAGAACTAAATTAAATTAAGTTAAAACAATGGATATCCCAAAGTGCATTTTCTGTATCTAATTGGTAAGGCTCTCTCACTCAAAATTCTGTATACAATTTATAATCATTATATTCTTATAATCATTTATATGTTTGATCTTTTGTAGGTTTGATCCCCAAAAGGGCTTTTGGTGTCAACTACTGGAAGGAGGAAAGACCAAATGTCTTGGAAAGAGCAAAGGACGAAAATATCCACCCATGGATCCAGAGGTAATATTTTCTTAATCTTTGAAATACTCTAGTAAAACTCTGTGTATACAACTGTTTCAAAACAAGACACAATAAGTTTACTCCCTTTTTCTTTTTTTATTTTTTTTAATTTTTATTTATTTATGATAGTCAGAGAGAGAGAGAGGCAGAGACATAGGCAGAGGGAGAAGCAGGCTCCATGCACCGGGAGCCTGACGTGGGACTCGATCCCGGGTCTCCAGGATCACGCCCTGGGCCAAAGGCAGGCGCTAAACTGCTGCGCCACCCAGGGATCCCACCCTTTTTCTTCTCTTGGTTTGCTATCAATGTTTTATATATTTAGAGTATAGATAGACTGACAGAAATCAATAATTGATAGATATTTGTAGGAATTGTTTGCTGTTACGATGCATTTGAAACATAAATACTTATTGAACAATAACTGTATTCCAAATGTATAAAGTGCTTAATGAATTGTTTACTAAACAAGTAATTTTGGATAAAATAAATAAACATCATTACCATATATCAAATATACATATGTAATGTCTATACCATGCATGGGTGCTGGAGAGCCAATAACAACATATGGGTGGGGAGGTTTCTCCACACCACCAATCAATGCTCAGACACCAGCTGGGTACCCAACAATTCAACTCAGTTCTGACAATATCTACCCTGAGATAGCATTAGATCCCACAAGGGCTCAGTTCTGTAAGACTGTCTCTCCCCACCCCCAACTTTAGATACTAGTTGTAAGCTCCAGTTGTTACTTGTGCTTCTGACCAACCAGCTATAGATTCAAAGTTCCAACAACTTACTTCTTGGGTTCAATCCATTTGCTACAGTGACTCACAGACTCACAGAAACCTTACTAGAGCACATGTTAATCATAAAGAGATATAACTTAGGAATAGCCAGATAGAAGGGATACATAGGGCAAGTTATAGGGAAACCCCTTTATAAGTGAACCATTGTCCCCAGTCTGCACATGTTCACCCACAGGGAAGTTCTCTATACCCAGTCCTTTGTGGTTTTTTATTGGAGGTTTCATTACAGAGACATGATTGATTAAATCATTGGGGTGGAACTTGAAGTTCCAACTTTCTAATCACATGGTTGGTTCTCCTGGAAACCAGCCCTCATCCAGGTAGAGTCCAAGAGCCACTTAATAAACATAACAAAAGATACCTTTATAACTCTTCCATTTAGGAAATTCCAAGGATTTTAGGACCTTTGTGCCAGAAAAGGAAGCAAAGGCCAAAAATATATTTTATATTATAAATTGTAATATCACAGAGAGGTTACAGGATAAAACAATTATCCAGATTTATTATAGGACAGAAAATTAGTTATTGCCATTGACTTATAATAAGATACATAAAACAATGACAAACTACAAAAGAAGGGAAAAACAAATTCTTAGTAAAAGTGATGGTATGAGGAGGTCGACTAGGGTTGGGAAACCAGTTAGCAATCAGCTGAGCCAGGTTGAGTATCTCTCCCAAGGCAAGGTAGGCAAAGGGAGGATGGAAGCGATTCAGGTATCACTATGGAAATAGAAGTACCAGAAGTCCTTAAACTATACCTTTGAACTCAATAATTTCAAAGAAGTTTCAGAAATCATTTTAATCTGCCAAAAAATCAGTGTAATGTTCTCACTACTTCTATAAACATCTTATCCAGAATTTGAAGTGTTTACAATCTGGTTTAAGGGAAGAAATACCTGGTGGATGGCACAAGACCAAATGTGGTTGTCTTAAGTCCATTTCCACAGTGTGCACAAAAATTGCCAAGGGAGTTTTATGAAGAACAAGACTCATTTGTGTTAAAATATTGGAAAGGGCTTAAGTGAGATGATATAACTTTCACCAGACCAAAAATAGTGTTTGAGCCATTGCTTCTATACTTAGGCAAGGAAAAGTGTTCAGCTCTACTATTTCGTCAGAGACCCAAAACAATGTTCATTGGGTTATAATATGAGGTAAGTGACATCCAGAGAGAAAACCCAGTTGTAAATTTTTTGTTTCCCAGAAATACAAGGGAACATAAAGTAATACTACTGATATATTTGAGCATTAGCTTTGTACCCATTTATCTAATAAGGGTCAATCATTCCAGTTTGACTAGGAATTTAAGAATCACAATAAAGTTCATTATAATGATTTTTATAATGAGATCTTATAATATTTTTTAAGTAAAGACTCTTATTTTAAAAGCACCCATTTTTGTGCTGAACAAACATAGAAAATATTTTTGCAAAGTTGCAAGTTATTTCTTTAATCATGAATTTCAGCTCTTATGTTATTTATGTTCCTCTTTTAGGTTATGGCCCAATTTTACAGAAAGGGACCAATTTTAAAGGAAATGTACGTGTTTTTTTCTAGCTTGCTTTTGTAGATTTGGTACTACTTCAAGTCCCTACCTCACTCTTCTTTAGTGTCATTACCTCTCATCAACTTTTCTCCCTGCATAGACTTGACCAATACAACAATCAGTAAGTGCCTTAATGGTATATAAGCCAGAAAAGATATACTCAGACCTATTTTTATTTTATAGCTACAGTTCTGCCAAATCTTTGCAAATTGTAATAATGAGTGATATCTGGAGAATAATACAAAGAGATGCATATTTTATAGACACCTATGTTGTAATAGAATAGTTTAAGAGATGTAGATTGCATAATTGTGTTTAATGAACTAATAACTTCCTTCAAGTTGTATTTTTTGTTTGTTTTCTTTTTGCTTTCTAGTCTAGAACTTTCCTCTCTAATTACTACCGAGATCATAACGTGGAACTTTCCAAACTGCTACATAGACTGGGGCAGCCTCTCCCATCTTGGCTGAGACAGGAGCTGCAGAAAGTGAGATAGCACTGGAGACAAGAACCAAGGCTCAAAGGATGCTTCCTTTTACTATTAAGTAGAACAACACACCCCACAACTTTTATCCCCTTACTGCACTTGTGATTGTCAGCAGAGGACTGTGTGAATAAATTTCCTTCTATCTTTTTCATAAAATGAAAATTGTTATATATGCACGCATTGGCAATTATTAGCATCCATCCCTATGTGAGCTTCTGGGAAGTAATGTGGGGTTTTGTGGCATTATCCAGTTTCCAGTGTGGGGATCGTAACACAGCCCAGTTCCTCTGTTAACTACAAGGTTTCAGAAACTCTACATAAGACTGAGAACCCTGATTAAATGCAAGTGACAAATGAGAATCTTGAGGAAAAGATAAGGACAGAGATATCTGTAAATCAAGTTAGCAGTAACCCAGTATCTGAATTTAAGGGCTTACATTTTCTCTTTGCTAATTTAAAAACAAGTTTTCTTTTGTTGTGAAAAAAAATCCTATGATCCCGGACTCTTATTTTGAGCAGTTATTATTTGTTATATTTAGCCCACATATTTTCCTCCATTACTCCTCTTTATGAATATTTTCTTCTGTTGCTCCTCCTGACTTGCTAGAGAAGTTGTAAAGTTGTAGCTGCCTGTGTTTGTTGTCAATTTTCCTTTTATGGAATGAAAGTTTCCGCATTCACTGATAGTACTATTTTATCTGGCAGGGCAATCCATTCTCAGTGAATTCTGCATTATGGGTCCATCAAAATCTATCAGAAATTTTGGGGAAAAGAAGTGAGAGTGCATACTCTGTGTAGTATTAACTAGTATGTATAAGGCCATCTTTCCATGAGTTCATAACCTTACCATACAAGTAATCTAGGTAAGTCCACCTTGACAATGACGTAGTATTTATATTTTTTTCACTATCTGTGGAAGAAAAATAACTTTATTGATAAGCTATGGAATGAAAACATCAACATGGGTATACAGGTAGAGTGGGGCACTTGTGCCTTCTATGTAGTATTATGTCAATTGTTTTAAAGCATGGAGTTTTATATATGCCAGTAATATACTATTGCAGAAGATTATGTTTTTAATGCCTATTTAAATATATATATGTATATATATATATATATATATATATATATCATACCTAAAACTTACCTCTTTAAACATTACAAATTCTCTAAACTAAATCCTATTTCTCAGCCATACCACCCAACAGTTAATTTCTAGAGACGTGATGGCTCTTCCTGTCCTAGAGTTTTAGGTTCCTCTTCTATTTGGAGGTTATTGTCATGCTGGTTGAATTTTTATCCCATTTTTCAAAGAAGATATATTAAGGCTTTGTTAATCTCTTCAGTGTGATACATGAAGGTAGAATTTCAAGAGAACAATAAATCAAATACTTTAGTAACACTACCTGTCAATCCATCCTTCCTCTAGAATAATTTTTCTATAGGCCATAAATAATATTTATTTTTTGTGCAACTTGAGAAATTATGCTTCACATAATTCAATGTCTTTAAAGGAAACTGAAGATCCTTGTTTATATTTGTTTGGTTTTTGTTGTTGCTATTATTGTTTTAAGCAAGCAAATTAAATCAAAACTAAAAGAGAATCAAGAATTTTCACATATCTTATTTCAGAATTCAACTTTGGATTTATACTTCATTAAAATTTTTGTTTACTGTTGTTCTCCCACTATATCTAGAGGCTCTTGATCTTTTTTTGAGAAAACGTGAAAATTTTTCTTGGGCTTGAGTACACTGAAGTCACAAATTATTACTTTGGTTGTTCCTTCGTTAACTGTGAGACTCAAATTCTCAAACTTATTGTTACTTATGTGATCATGTACTTGAAAGCATTGTACTAGGCACACTATAATCACAACAATTGGATATTTAGATCTCTAACATTTGATTTATTTGTTCACTAGCTTCCTCCAGGTTAAATTCTAATATTTTCTTTTTGAACTAGATATTGACATTTTTTTCCTGAGCGGGATAATCAAAATGGTCTTAGAAAAAAGCAGGAGATATTTTTCATATTAAGTTAAATTCACACAAGTCAAAGTCCAACTCATACCACCAGATTTGTAAAAATTTAACTCATTTTTTGGCATTTTCTCATTTTTTCCTAAGTAACATATACTGTATCATTCACCTATCTACAGACATCAGAGAGCAAAATTCCCCCAAATTCAACCAGTCTTTTCTCCCTGGTTCATTTCAACCAGTGTGTACCTTTTTCTTGTTAAGATTGTCATGAAGAAAAAATAAATTTTAGTTATATAATTCATCTTCATCTTATAGTTAACTACTTAGAGGGACTCTGGGCTTTGGGAATATTATAATAAATCAGGAAAAATTTCAGCTTTAAGAATATCTTGATTTAGCCACTGGCTACTTTGGAATTATTGAGTCAAATTTAATGTATGTAACTCTTTAAAATTTTAAACCAAATTTATTTCATGGTCTTCAATTACATACTTTTTTAAATTTTAAAGAACTTCTTAAGAACTTTAAGCGAGACATTACATTCTCCTCTTTCTTCTTCCAATTGCCTAACTTATAAATATAATCACTGATTACTTCACACTAATAAAGACAGGAACAATATTTGATTACAAGCCTACATCAAGATATAATGACATGCTTGTCAAATACCAGTCTCTGAAAATTATATTACAAATCTCTCCCGAAACCAAATTTTACTTGTATTTAACAATGACCCCCAAAGAATTAAATAAGCAACGAGGAAGAATGGTAGTGAGAAAAATTTATAGTCCCTTTATTACTGATTTTTTTCTTTAAAAATGCACTTAGTCCATTTAGAGATTTTATTTGCCTTGATTTCAACATATTCATTTATATTTACCTTAAGTAGTTTTTGTTCTTCTATCTTACTGTTTTGGTATGTCATAAAGTGTTCCATTTGACATAAATAATTGATTTATTTTTAGTTACACAGAAAATTTATAGTGGAATAATGTCTTAAAAGTCTGGTTTTGGGTGACTAGATAATATATGAACCATTTGCTTGATGGAGATACCTCAAAAATAATGCTATTTGGAAAGAAAGAAATCTAGTAGTCTTACATATGGATTTTATCTCAACTACAGGAATACAGCTTAGCCATGGGTACATATATATGCCCAATATATGTATATATATGCAAATGAACATTTGTGTGTGTGTGAGCCAGTGATTTGGATTGGCAAAGCAGAAAAAGAAATTGTTAAATAACGGATATAGTACACGCATAACATATCTTTGATTCTTCTTCAGAATAAATACTATACTGGTATGGTCATTAGAGTAATGTTGTTTCTCCTCTAAATTCTAAGATTTTAATCAATAGATCATTCTTTTTCCTTTGCTTTTTCTTCCTACCTTCTTTTTCTTCCTATCCTTAATCTATATACATATTCCCTAAATTCCAAACATATAACTAGTATAACCAGGAAGTTATGAGTGTGGACTTTAGATATCTGGATTTTCATGCCAGTCCTGCCTCTCACTAGCTGTGTAGCCTCCACAAGCTATGGAATTTCCCTGAGTCACTGTTTCCTTTCCTGTAAAAGAAAGACAATAAAGTGTTACTTACTAATTTGGTTATTGTAAGCATTACTTAGTGTATATTTAAATAACTTAGCACAAAGCCTGATATAGTTATGCTGGAACATATTTGTTATAAAAATAATGTATAATATTCAAATCACTATCTCTTCTTTCATGAAACAAGAATATGTTTTCTACTCCCTTTAATAATAAAACATGTATGTCTTGAACATATCATTAATTACATTTGGTCAAAATGAGAAACTGTCTTCTTCATCACTGTTCAAAAATGAGTTTGTGCTGTTTCCTACTATTGTTCTGATCATCATTTGGAGCAAGGTAGTTCCATATTGGTCCATCCCTTGAAATCCCTTTCCTCCTACCTACCTCCTTCTCAGTTTATTCAGAAGAGTATCTCCCTTGAACCATTTCTTTATGTCTTTCTTCAGTTCCTTTGCAACCCAACAGATATCCTGTCAGGAATATCAGATCCACAGGTGCAACTTCCTAAGACCAAAGGACAGTTACCAAAAAATTAGTGCAAGTATTAATATAACAATGAATCAATACTTAAGGAATCATTAAAACTTACAAGAAAATTTCTCTACATTCTCCACAAGTCTTCATCTCCAACCTCACTTTCTTCCATAAGATCTTTCCACAAAAGAAACATTCTATTACTCTTTAATATATTACTTTATATTATACTTATTAATATCAAACATTTTTTATATTTTTATTGCAAATGCACAGTATTTCAGGCTTGAAATAAGACATTTACCTACATAATTTCCATTCAAAAAATATTTTGTTTTTTATATGCCTTATGTCTTACATATTACCAAAAGTCAGCACATGATTGATACTCAATAAACATTCATTGAAGTACATTGAAATGTGTTGAGGACTACCAGTATACTTAATTATTTGCCCAACTTTAATATATGTCATTATCCATATTGTTAGTTTACATAATAATTTTGCCTTGCCACACTTTAAGTGCTTCATAACCACATGTAGCTAGAGGCTTCCATGTTGGACGACAGCACAACTCTATTCTCTACTTTCTTCATCTACTTATTTTTTTTATCACATCCTATTCACCTCATTGGTGAGAGAAAGATTCCTGCCTAGGATTCTAAGGGGTAGCCAAACACACAATGCAAAGCACTGGACAGATGAGATTAACAGCTGTTTCTCTGTTACATATATTCTTAGTCCAGGGAGGAGAACGTTCCACACCATACATTGGACTTGAGAAGGAATAAATAACAAGAGCAGTGAGAGACAAGTTTTGTAGCATCCCGTGAGGTCACCCTTCTTCCCCATTGGAATATGTGATTTGCTTGTTTGAATAATTGTGCAGTCTGGCAGGAAACTGGAATCCACTACTCAAGGATAAGCAGAAACAGCACCTGGTCCGCTTGATAAGGACAATCTTGAGCTAGGGTACCTTACCCAA